GATATCTGCCTTACACTGTTCACAAAAACTAACTCAAAATGAATCCAAGACTTGAACATAATAGCTGATGCTATAAAACTCCTTGAAGAAATCATAGAGAAAATTCTCAACACTGGTCTTGGCAATGATTTTTTGGACATGATGCCAAAAGCACAAACAGCAAATGCAAAACCCAGCAAAAGGGACTACGTAAAACTTACGGCTTCTGCACAGCAAAATAAATAAATAACAAAATGCAAAACCAATCTACAAAGTGGGAGGACGTTTTACAGACCATGTATCAGATAAGGGGTTAATAGCTAAAGTACATAAAGAACTCATAGAAATGAATAACAGTGAGAATAACAAAAACCTCCTACAACTCAAAAACAAACAAAAAAACCTCAGATTTTAAAATGGTCAAAGGATGGGGCACCTGGGTGGCTTAGTCATTAAGCATCTGCCTTCAGCTCTGGTCGTGGTCCCAGGGCCCTAGGATCGAGCCCCACATCGGGCTCCCTGCTCGGCGGGAAGCCTGCTTCTCCTCTCCCACTCCCCCTGCTTGTGTTCCCTCTCTCACTGTGTCTCTCTCTGTCAAATAAATAAATAAAATCTTAAATAAATAAATAAATAAAATGAAATGAAATGGAACTATATAGACATTTTCCTAAGAAGACATCCAAATTTCCAACAGGTACATGAAAAAATGTTCAATACCACTACTCATCTGGGAAATGCAAATGAAAACCATAATGTAATATCACCTTACATCCATTAGAATGGCTTTCATCAAGAAAATTAAACAGGTTGGTGAGGATATGGAGAAAAGGGAGTACACTGTTGATGGGAATGTAAATTGTCTCAACCACTGTGGAAAACAGTATTGAGGTTCCTTGAAAAATTAAAAATAGATATACTATATTATCCAGCAATTCCACTTCTGGGTATATACCCAAAAGAAATGAAAACAGGATATTGAAGAGATATATACACACTCCCATGTTTATTGCAGCATTATTCACAATAGTGAAGATATGGACACAATTAAGTGCCCATCAACAAATGAAAGGACAAAGATATGGTATGTACATACAATGGAATATTATCTAGTCATGAGAAAGAAGAACATCCTGCCATTTGCAACAAAATGGATAGACCTTGAACACATTATGCTAAGTGAGGTAAGTCAGAGAAAAACAAGTACTGTATGATATCACTAACATGTGGACTCTAAAAAAGCCAAACTCATAATAAAAAAAAAAAAAACAGTAGTTACCAGGGCATGAGGGATGGGGGATAGGAAAGATGTTATTTAAGGGTACAAACTTGCAACAAGTAGTCAATAAGTCCTAGAGATCGAATGCACAGTATAATGAATATAGAAAACATTATCGTGTAATAGTCATCAAAACTGCTAAGAGACTAGAACTTAATTATTGCACTCACTAAAAAGAAAGGACCATTATGTAGCATGATAGAGATGCTAATTATCACTATAATGACAATTATAATATATAAATGTATCAAATTAACATATTTTACACCTTACATTTACACAGTGTTATATGTCAAATATATTTCAATAAAGTAGCATTCTTTAAAAAGTTCAGTTTATCAGCTTCAATTTATCAGCTAGGAAACTGAAGAATTGTATTTAAATCATATTTATGGAGGAGATTAAATAATTTCACCAACTCACTTTGAAATTGACCGAGGCCTTTAAGCAGTCTCATTTTTCCCCCTAAAAATAGAATTGGTCAACAAGTGACCAAAGTTAGCATGCGCCTTTGTTAACTTCAATTATAGAACATGTTACTGAAGTAGCATCAAAATTTCATCTTAAAAAATTTTTTATACCACTGCCAGAACTGACTTCGGGCAGAAAATATACTTTAATTCCTTGGCAGTGATTTGCTAGGCTGGGTTCGTTCCCCAACATTTAGTAAGAAAAATATAGTCCTGTAATGTTATCCAATTTCCCTTGAGGAAAACAAGATTAATATAAGCCAGTTCAATTTCTTTGCACCTGTGCAGCTAAGCAGGCTTACATGAAGTTGGAAGTGATGGAGTAGAAATGCTGGAGTCACTCACAAAGCCACTGACAAAAGAGGATCTGGAGAATAAGATTTCAACAGCTGAAAAAGTAAACATAAACAAAGATTATAAATTCAGGTCCCTTAAAAAAACACTTGACATATCTACAAGATGCTAAGAGATCACCATATCCTTTAAGAATATATCCAAGATCTCCAAACACTTTGTAATGAAGCTCTGTGAACAGTTGATGACCTGGCCCATTGGTTAGCAATCTTCAGCTGAAAGGAACAAAAGACCCAAAAAATCTGGCTTAAATGATAAGAATATATATTATCTTACATGAAAAGTCTGGAGGCAGGGTAGCTCCAGTTTGATTAATTCAGTGGTCCAGTAATATTTACTCCAGCTTTGCTTCTCTTAAGTGTGTCAACATTCCCCTTTTAATTGCAATATGTTTCCAACAGTCACTTCCCTGGGGGATGACTTCTCTAAACTTCTAGAAGAGGACCTTGATGGCCTCTTTAAATTACCCTTCCAACCTAAATTCTCCTCATATTAAATGATTTACATTTCTCTTGAAAGCGAGGTTTGGCTGGAATTATTTTCTTTAACCCAGTCTTTGGTTTTTAATGAGGAGTTTAAAACACTTACTTACATTTTGATAGCTGTTCTATTTGGCCTTATCTATGTCTATTGTTTCATGATTTTTATTTTTTATCATATTGAATTTAAGTCTGAAACAAGCCTGGTATAAAGGGAGACACAGAGAAACCAGTTCATGCATGTACTTGTTGGCCATTATAAGGATTTAGGATTTGTTTTAAATGCAATGGAAGAGCATTGAAATGTTTCAAACAGGGTACTCTTTGATTTGCTATACATCTTAAGATCAATATAATCATTATAAGGGAGAATAGATTGCTTGGAGGAAAGAGAGGAAACAGTAAGGCCAGTTAGGAGGATGTCAACTGTACTTCAGGCAATATCTATTGCCTGGTGACCTGGACTAGGTGGTAACAATGGTCATTGAAGGAAGATAATGATTCCAAATTAAGAACTGACATATAAAGACTTGCCAATAGAACAAATAGGTGGCAGGAATTGAGAGAGGGGATGAAAGATGGAAAGATTATATTTGCTTCTGGATGATGACATTATTCTTTGGGTAATGGAGAAACCTGGGGAGAACACATTTACAAGGCAAAGAGAATAAACAGTTAATGTTTTAGATGCATAAATGCAAGGTATATGAAACAACCAAGTGGATATGTCAAAGTCAGCTCTTGGATATGTGAGCTATTTATTGCACATAGTTGAAGTCTTAACTAGAGATATAAATGGAGGCCTCATCAACCAACTGAGCTCTGAGAGATGCCAGTGTTACAGCCCAGCCAGGTAAAGGAAGGGTAGCCACTAAAGAGAAGTGTGAAGAGACAGACAATGTGGTAAGAGGAATGTCATAGGAGCCATTTTCTTGATGCCAAGAGAGACTGTGTTCCCAGAATTTGGGTCCAGGAAAGATGAGAACAGAAACTGTCATTGAATATGTCATCCTGGAGGTCATGATTATCTTAACAAGAGCATCTTCTTTGGAGTATTAAGGCAAAAGGCAGTTTGTGGCGTTGGCAGAATAGAATGGATTGAAGGCAACAGAGACATCATGTGAAGGTTTGGCTGTGAGGCGGAGCAATGGAAATCTTTTTTGTTTTTGTAGCACTTGAAAAGCTCATTTCAGTCCATAAGTACTCAATGCATGTGTGGAATCAATCTTAATAGTTATCAGTGTAGACATAAAAATCTAACACATGTCTGGGTATATATTATAATAGCACTATTTGGACAGAGGTATTCATGCTGAACTCTATTTCTGTAATTGAAAGAACCCATGAGTAGGGAAGATTAGAGCAGCCTAGAGCAATTTCCCCTTCAGTGTTGGGTTCTATCCATGAACTTCATAATACTGGGTTCTGCCCGTGAAGTCTTCACCACCATTCCAATTCATTTTGTACCATGGTCTTACTACAGATCTTCACATGAGTATCCATTCATCATAAATTATTCTAGGATCCAGAAGAGAAAGAAGGATGGTATCATCCAAATACTACAGATATTTTATTAGTGGAAATCACCAGACTGTTTACTATGCCTAATTGTGGTGATACACTCTTTAAAAAAAAAAGTTAACATTATAACACTGGGCTTTTTTATTATTATACTTTCCTTATACAAATAATATTTATACAGGATCATACTATAGAGTTATTTAAGTGCATTATTTATATAATGATATTTTGTTGTGGACTTTTTTTGCCTGTCTAAAATGTAGATTATATGACCCCAAACAATATGTTCTATTTTCCACAAGAAAGAGATGTTACATCAATTATATATTTTTATATAATCATAGTTGAGAATATTAAATATGAATGCATACATAAGGGAAATATAGTTATACTGAAAATCAATGATTTATTAAGTTATTTTATAAAACTATGAAGCATCTCTTTTAATATATGCAAATAGGTTCTGAGGAATATTTACTTTGAGGCCAAATAGTAATAATAGAAGTAAGATCATATAATTTGAACATTGACAATTTCAATGATAAATTGCTGCTCTTATTTAACAATAATATGGATCAGTTTATAGGCTTTATGCCTGCCGTGTACTTGTGTGCATTACGATGATCACATGTCACTATAATATCACTAACTGGTTATGTTAAGTAATTGTCATACATTTAAAAACTAGTTACGGAGTTATAGTTCCTTGTAAAAGAGTGCCACTGACACTCTTAGAATAATTTCAACTTACCGGAACAGCTTAAAAATCCTATACGTTAGTTTGTATACATCAATTACATTTTCTTGCTCACATCTGTAAAAATTCAGCAACAAGATCAAAATCTACTTGTGTTTTAATATACAGACTAAATGTTTCGTTGTTTTACTTTTGTAAAATGATGCATCTCTGGCTTTGTTTAGGGCCTGAAGGTGCACTTTTTGAACATTCAGTGGAGACCCCCCTCGTAAGAGCTGACCCATTTCAGGACCTGAGGTAAGAATTTTGTTCAAACATAAACTCTCTTATGGAAGATACCTGGATATGTGCTGGAACAATATTTTAGCAGTCATTACCAGATTGTATCTTATTCCATTAATTAATTGTCTTTATTCTCATGATGTTCCACTTATTAACTAGTCATTACTTACTAAAATCCAAATGAAGTAAAAAGAGCCACTGATTCCCTATGTTTGATCCACCCAAAACAGAAAATTTGCCATCTTAACCACTTTTAGGTGTACAGTTCAAGAAAGTATTTTAAGTACATTCCCACTGTTGTACAACCATCACCACCCTCCATCTCCAGATTTCTTTTCATTTTGCAGAACTAATACTCTGTGGCCAGTAAACAACTTCCCAGTCTCACCTCTACCAAACCCTGGAAACCACCATTCTACTTTCTGTCTCCACAAATTTGACAACTCGAGGCACCTCATGTAGATGAAATCATACAGTATTTGTACTTTGTGACTGGCTCATTTCATTTAGCATAATGTCCTCAACCTTTGTTATATCTTTACATAATGTCAGAATATATAAAATCACCTAGTTCCAGAATGTAAATGTATTCTTTATAGGAGTCTCTGTGTGCCTATGTGTACTTTACTTTATCAATGCACTACTGAATGACATTTATTGCTATAACTGTTTATTCCAATATTATATTTATATTTTGTAACAAAATCAAATACTATTTTTTAAAAACAAGTACCTAAAATCTAAGGTATCCCTTAAAATTACATTCAGTATTTGAACTTGAAATATATGCAGAACAATTAACATCCTAATATATTATGTATAATAGAGGAAATTAAGTATGGTAGGAGTCCTGGCTTTACACAGAGAAGCCTTGTGACCTTGGCCAAACATAGCTTTTGAAACTATTTTTCTCATCTATAAAATGTTGATAGTAACATATATCTCAGTGTATTCTGTGAAAGATTTAATTAGCTATTAGGTTAAAAGTATTCTGTAAACTGAAAGTTGAATACCAATAATCATTTTTATTATCATTATTATACCAAGTAGATAATCACACTAAATGGAATAAAAGTTAGAAAATTAAGCATTTCTCTTATCTTTAATATCTAATTAAATATTAATTAAAAGCAAATGAGGGTTCAATTCATCGTACCCACTTAGAGAACATTTGCAGCACGAAAATAAATTGTGATTCTAATTACATTAGAACAATTTCATTATTTTTGATAAAGGATCACAAGATCAGTATTACAGAATTACTATAGTTAGGGCAGAAGAACATGTTACTTTTCTAGGATAGAACAATGATTCAATATCTTTAAAAATAATCCCATTAAAACCAATTTGAAATTATAAAATAATATAAATTGTAGAGATGCCAGACTCCTTTTTGAAGTAATTTACTTAACTGTTTTAAAATATATGGATCCCAAAATTAAACCCTTTATCTTATGTTGTCCCATCAGGGTATAATCTGCTGGTTATACAGCAGGCCTTTGCTAAAAAAGAAATGGCAGAAGAGTATCCTCATGCTTTCCAAAAGGTGGTACTAAGTGGGGGGTGGTCATATAAACCAGGTGTTACAGGCAAAGTGATTAAGAAGATAATGAAATTGTAAGAAATTCCTGGAGGAATGGGGTGAGGATGGAAGGCATGAACTGACAAGTACTGAATGTCTTCAACTGCCAGGATCTGTGCACTGTCCCATAATTTGTCTTATTTAATCATCAACTCTACCTTAAAAATAAGCAACTTTATCCCCATTGTATAAAAGAGGAAAACCAAGATCTAGATGGCAGCATGTTCTAATCAAAGATTAAAAAGTAGCCTAAATAAATAAACAAACAAATAAATAAAAAGTAGCCAACGGATTATTCAAATTCAGCTCTGACTCCACAGTCCATGTTTGTTGGGTGTATTCTCTCCACCACTTAAGTGGACCCTTGAGTGATTTATTCTTTAATTTACAACCAGACTCCTCTAAATGATTATATGATATTCATATTTTCTTCTATAAATTCTTACCATAAACTGTCTTTCACTTTATATTTCTGAATCCAGTACCATTACTATTCCTGACTTGAGTAAAGTGAAAATGATTCTAGAATATCCTGAAAACAATGAATGGGGATTTTTTAGATTTGAGATCATTATGCATTTATAAATATATCTCTGAAATATACATGTTTAAATATCACAAACTTAACTTTTATTTTTTTTATTATGTTGTTCATCACCATACATTACATCATTAGTTTTTGATGTAGTGTTCCATGATTCATTGTTTGCGTATAACACCCAGTGTTCCATGCAGAACATACCCTCTTTAATACCCATCACCAGGCTAACCCACAAGCTTAAATTTTGATATTTGTTCAAATGGTAGTCATAGAAGGGTGACAATTATTATTTGCTTTAAGAAGAAAGATAATGTGTATTTAAGCTAGATTTGCATTTCTTATAGCAAAGTCATTCACAAGGAAAATACAAAGTCTGATATGCTTCATTCATTCTGACATGCTACTTTTCATTCATACATGATATAATTCATTCTTTTTTAAAAATTCAGCAAAAATATACTAAACATGTTTATGTACCAGAATGGTCGCTAGTTCTACAGTGATAAAATGCATGGATTCTGCCCTTAATGATTTTAAAGTCTGTTGGGAAAGGAAACATGCAGACAAGTTAGAACAATATAATTCCTTGCTATGATGAAAGTCCAAAATATAGTGAGGGCATAGGAGAAAAAACATAAAATCTTCCCAGGGTAATCTGAGATGATGTCACAGAGAAGGAAGCAACTGAAACTTAAGAAAATCAGTAGATATTAATATCACAGGGTAAACTGTAAACCCCCTGCAACCCAATAGGGATGTGGTGGCAATTAAGTAAGTTATTTGTAAATGCCTCGAAACGATGCCTAGCACATAGTCAATAATATAGGTGTGTGTCTTCATTAAATAAGTAAAATGAGAGGACATGGAAACATTTGCTCCTGTTTCAAACACTTGTAAATACCAGTTTACTTATGAATAAATAAATACATACATAAGCAAACAAATAAATATAAGTATATATTGTATACTTATATATACTTATAAGTATACTTATTATGTATATAAGTATATAATATATATTATATACTTATATATCATACATATTATATACTTATAAATATTGCTCAAATACTTATAAATACTGCTCAACTAGAAACCAAGACAAACTCATTCTTAGATCCCAGTAACAAAGAGGAAATTCATTGTCGGAGTAGAGTGAAAGCTAAAGCCAAAGTATTCATGGAGATGTCGGGATGTCATAGAGATCAGGAGCTGGGATTTTAATATATTATGGGACTGTGATACTAAGGTTTAGCTCTGTGTGTGTGTGTGTGTGTGTGTGTGTGTGTGTGTGTGTGTGTGTGTAATGCCCAGACTGAGATACCTTGTAAACCCTGGTCCCCATGAAAGATATTTGAAACAATTTGCCTAAAATCTTGGGCCATAAGTTAAGTTACCCACAAGAAATCATGAACAATAGGCCTTTGCTCAGCCAAGATCAGAGGACTAAATCCACACTACCTCATTGTATAAGAGCTCAAAGATGGAAAATTAATGTTAACTACACTAAAGTCCAACTACAGTGAAGAAATTATCCCATTACCCATGACATAAAAACATCTATGGAAAACAATCCTTGCTAAAAATGAGTTTACTACAATAATAATAATAATGAAAAGATAAAAAATCAGCAGCCACTACGTTACCCCCTAAAACTCTATCTAAGTAGTAGAGCAAAGTGAGAGATTTTAAAACAGACATGAATAAAATGCTCAAAGAAGAAAAAAATTAAATATAAAGATGAGGCAAAGTCGTATGAAGATGGCAGATTTGGAAAATAACAAAATAGAAATTCTAGAAATGAGAGATCAAGTAATTAAAATAAAATCAGTGGCAAACAAACAGTACTTGGTTTCTCATACGATTCTGCAATAAAAGGAATCAGGATTCTTCAGAGAAATGGCTCATTCTAGGACTGGGGCAGCGAATGTAAAAGATAAATTTGGAGCATTTTGTAGCACCAGTGAATAAGATGTGCTCAAAAACTGAAACAACAAAGGTACATCATTAAAAGGACACAGGAACCAAATAAAAGAGTTCCCAATCAAAAACAAAACAAAACAAAACAAAAAAGTTCCCAACCAAAGCTGGACGATTTAAGCAAAAAATTTTTAACATACTGGATCATAACCCAAAGTTGATGGGTATCAACTCTCCGTGACTTTTTAGATTCCATCAAATACACTGTAAAGTGATGAGTCTTCTTTCAAAATGACAGTGTTTATAAATGTGGCAGAAATGGTACCTTTTGCAAAACTTAAATTTATGTAAAACACAATGTTAACTTAAAAATGGGTATTGGGCACCTAGTTTTTCATTCTTTTAGGACAGCCTTGAAGAGCACTGCTCTGGGTTGGCTATTCTACCAAGTTTCACAAAGTGTGGGTTTCAGAAGTAAACATATTGAACTTTGCCAGGCTTGGCCCATGTGCCTCTCCAAGTGCTTTGTGCTGATTTATAATTCCATGAGTGGTTTGAGAATCTCTTTCCTCACCTTTTACCAGCATTTCGCACTGTCAGACTTTATGACCTTTTTCGTGCTGATGAGTGTGATCTTGTGTTATTTTACATTTCATTTCCCTGGCGACTAGTGTGGTTAAGCATCTTTCATATTTTTATTCTGTTATTAAGGCTGCTGCTTCTGGAATTGACTCCATCTTCTTTGCTTCTTTAATTACTTTTTAAAACAGATTTATAGGGATTAAAAATATACATATATATTCTGAATATTAACATTTTTCCTATTAACATTTTTCTATTAATTTTTAATGTTTATATACTCAAAATTATTAATCTTTTCTTCATTAAATCTGAATTTTAAACTCTCCTTACAGAAAGAGGAATTTGTCAGCCCCGTTGCTAGTCTGGCTTTCCCTTCTACATCAAAATACA